TGTGTTGTGGTAACGCACAGAGTCAACATGCTGCCAGTCAGTCATCAGAAGGTGATTTGTAATGTAGAAAGTGGCAGGTTGCGGGGGTTATAATCAGGAACTGCTGGTGAGTAAATGACTAACAACAAAAGTTAAGGATTCCCATCCTGCTTTGCACACACAGTCACCAGCAGATCCAGCTGTGTTTGTTCTCAGCTCACCTCTTTTATCCAGACGTATGCAGATACACATCATGTGCGCTCCTCTTTTATCCTCGTGGCACCAGGTCTGAAATCACCTCGAAATTGCTCCGATGAAAGACAGTCCTCAGCAACACGGCTGAGAAACACAGAACGGAGTGGACCGACTTACTTCATGTTCCTTTAACAGGAAGATTTCTCTGGCTTCTTTTGTAAATGACCCTTTTCCCCTGGAGTGAGGGGACCACCAAATAATGTGGTAGAGCCTCGGTATGCTGCTGGTATACCTTTTACGTGCTGGTTTCCCTTCTGGGGGCAGCAAAGTTGGGAGTTTTTATCTTTGTGGACTAAAGAGCTCCAGTGACACTGAGCCAGGAGGGAAGATTTGTTGATAAACTCAGTTGTGATTCCCAGGAATGCAGTCATTAGAGATGAACCCGTTTAGGCAGCGGGCTGTGATTTTCTCTTCAAGTCTATAATAACAGGTTCAGATAATTATTTGTTGTTGAGGTGTTAATAGGACCCATCAGTAGTCCTGCATGAACAGGGTGGATTTTCAACATGATTCTTTTTTAGGATCTCAAAGACAATCTACATCTTTGTGTGAAAATGGTAAAACAACCTGGACTACATGATTGTAAATAATGTTATGTATTGTAACGTTATTGTCATCATTGTATGTTCCCATACAATGGCAAAATTGGATCTCTGCATTTAACCCATCCACCACGAGGTAGTGCAGTGGGCAGCTATTGAAAGTGCCCGGGGAGCATTTTGGGGATAAGGTGGGCTGCTCAGAGACACCACGAGATGTGCAATGACTGGGGATCAAACCTAGGACTTTCGGGTCCCGAGTCGACTGCCCTGCCTCTACACCATCTTGGCCCCAAAACAATAAAATGTGTTATAAATATAAAGGTTATGTACTGCTATCAGCTGCAGCACTGTGATTATTATTGGCCTCCTTTAGTCTTAAACATAAGATATGGTAAATGGACTGTACTTATATAGCACCTTTCTATCTGATCAAGATACTCTAAGTGCTTTACAATACCATTTGTGACTCATTTACCCATTCATACAGCTCTCTACTAGATCTGTACAAAGCTAATTGAACAAATTATTCTAAATACACTAATCAGTGCTTTATCACATTCATACACCGATGGGACACACATCGGAGGCAATGAAGGGTTCAGTGTCTTGCCATGAGGCATTTCGGCATGTGACTGCTGGTAGAATTGAACCCCCAACTCTTGCACTGGAGGATGACTGCTCTAACCACTCAGCCACAGCCACCCATGAATAAAAACTTGGCATTCAAATTGTTAACCCACCCACTGATTCATTCCATCGTGTGGGAAGTAGAAGTGACAATAATCATGTGTTTGAATCATGAATGAGTGTATGAATGATGGTTTAGTAACAAAATAACACGAGTCCTCATCAGGACAAGGCGGTGTCCTGCATCTAAAGAATAAACTATAACTCTTTTTAGGACAGTAATTTGATCATAAGGCAGCTCATTTAGACAAGATGAATGGAAAAACCTCCTCCAGTTGCATTTCCTTGTTTTTGTGAACATTTTTACTTTGCTTCTTAAAACAAATGAATACCAACACCTTTAAAAAATAGAGGAAGAAAATTCTTCAGTAGATTATTAGATTCCACATACTTCATATATCCATCTAGTATCTTGCATTTGTTCTGGAGTCAGGTTGCTGGGGCAACACCTTAAGCAGGGAGACCCTGACTTTTTCCACAGCCTCTGCTTCCAGCTCTTCTTGGAGGATTCCATAGCATTCCCAGGCCAGCCAAGAGACATTGTCTTTCCAGCATTCCTTGGGTCTTCCCCAGGGTCTTCTTCCAGTCAGACATGCCCAGGGCACCTCCCAAGGAAGGTGTCCAGGGACTGAGCTAGGGGCATCCTTACCAGATGCCCGAACCACCTCAACTGGCTCTTCTGGATGTGCAGGACAGCAGCTCTACTCCAACTATCTCCTGGATAACTGAATAGGGTCCAAAGACCCTATCTCTAAGGGAGAGTCCAGCTATGAAGTGGAGGAAATTCATTTCAACTGCCTGTCGGCAGTCTCTTTGTTTTGGTCACAACCCAGAGTTTGTGGCCATAGGTGAGGATAGGAATGTAGGCCAACTGGTAGACAGAGAGTGTCACTTTGCAATTCAGCTCCCTCTTCACCACAACGGACTGGCACTGAGAATCTACGCCAGTCCATTTGTCAATTTCCCGCTCCCTTCTTCCCTCACCTGTGAACAAAACCCATAGATTTTGAAATCCTTCACATGACTCCTCACTCTCATCCTGTAAAGAGCAATCCAACGTTTTCTAAATGAGGACTAGAGATTTGGAGATGCAGGTCCTCATCCCAGCCACTTTACACTTGGCTGTAAACCACTCCAGTGCGAGCTGAAGATCATGGCACAATGACGTCATCAGGAGCACATCATATATAAAAAGCAGATATAGAATCCTGAGGCCACCAAACCAGACTCTTTCCGCCCCCTGGCTGCACCAAGAAATTTTGACCATAAAAGTTATGGACAGACTCCGTGACAATGGGTAGCCCTGGATGAGTCCAACTCCCCCAACAATGCAAACCAAACATTTACACCTCATGTATAAGGACTGGGTGGTCCATAGCAACAGACGCTCAATCTCATACTTGAGGAGCACAGTCCAGTGTACCTCGAGGAACATGGCTGAATGCCTTCTCCAAGTCCACAAAACACATGTAGACTGAATGGGCAAATACCCATGACCCCTCGAGGGAGCTATTAATGGGTGTTATTAGTTATTGGTGTGGCTGAGTGGTTAGAACAGTTGTCCTCCAATGCAAGAGTTTGGGGTTCGATTTCACCAGCAGTCACATTCTGAAGTGTCCCTGGGCAAGACACTGAACCCCTTAATTCCTCCTATGTGTGTCCCATCGCTGTATGAATGTGATAAAGCACTGATTATTCTTTGTACAGAAATAATAGAGTCTATGAATTGGTAAATATGGGCACAGATTGTAGTGTAAAGCGCTTTGAGTATCTTGATAAGATAGAAAAGTGCTATATAAGTGCAGTCCATTTACCATTTATTAAGACCTCACCAGGGAGGCTAAGGAGAGTGATGCCCCTTTAATTGGAATGCATCCTGATTCTTCCATGAAATACTTTCTGGTGGGATTGAGAAGGTCTGAGAAGTATTTCTTCCACCACCTAACACCATCACTGGTTGAGGTTAACAGCACCCCACGTCACTAAACACAGTGTTGGTAAAGTGCTGCTTTCCCTTCTTTAGCCACCTGATGATTTGCCAGAATGTCCTTGGAGGCTATCCGGAGCCTCTATGCAAAACTCTCATTAAACTTTTCCCACATTTGAGCTTTTGCCTCTACAACAGCCAGAGCTGCAACCTGCTTGACTTGCCAATACTCCTCAACAAAGTCCTACGAGCCAACAAAGTCCAATAGGACTCTTTCAGCTTGGCAACTTCCGTAACCCGGAGTGTCCACCACTGAGTTCTTGGATGGCTACCACAAGAAAAACTGAAGACCATGCAGCCACAGCTCAAGGCAGCTGCCTTGGCAATGGAAGTGTGGACCATGGCTCACTTGGACTCAGTGCCCAATGTGGCTGCTCAGAAGACTCAGATTCTCAATCAATCATTTATTTATAGAGCCTTTTACAACAGCCAAAAGGTGCACAAAGTGCTTCACAGTACAGAAATAAAAAATGCCAGAGTGCCACTAATAAAAAAGTTTTAAGATTAGATTTTTTTAAAAAGCCCAGATCAGTGATGAAGAGCAAGTGTCATAAGGTACCATAGTTGGTTCCACAGTCTGGATGTGGTGATGGAAAAGGCCTTGCCCTGGACAAGCAGTAAAGATGTATTAGTGGATTCTGTGCATCAAATTGTTTCCCTTTATGTTGAGTTCATACATTTTATTTTTATTTTACTAGAATACTCCCCCCCCCCCCCCCCCCAAAAAAAAAAAATCTTCATCTTTTGCTGGTCTATAAACAGCTCTATACTAATGATTTGCATCTTAATTTTTGTGACCTCTAGGCCTCACCTAATAGCCAGGTAAACCAGTTTGAAATGTGTAATTTGCTGACCTCTAAAGAATTTAAATACCTGTAGCTCTTCAGTCTTTGGTTAGCTAGAGGCCCCTTGGATAAGTGATGAAACAAGAACGTGTCCACCTGCCTCCTCTTTCAGCACTAGAAGAGGTCTGTGGTGATGGACTCGCTTTTGGAGAGAAGCAAATAGCTTGGCTTTATTTTCCAGCCCTGGAGGTTGCAGCTTGTTGTCATTAAACTAGAATGTGGACCTGGATATACTCAGTGCAGCAACAACTACCACTACTGCAGTTGTCTTTGTCTCTGGACAAATTGTATGACCGCAACAATAGTTTGTAATTGCAAAACCTCCCCGGTGTATTAATGGCATCGAAATGAGAACCAAGGTTAAACATATCAGTCCACAGTTGTAGTTTTTTTTTGTAAGGTAGTATTTTTCTCTTGTAAAGAAGCTTGTGATCCCATTCATATTGGTGCAGCTTGTTTTCACTTTATTGGCTTGATTATCTGTATTTCTGATTAAATATAAAATGCTACAAGCCACTGATTTATTCAACATCAGTGTTTCAGGGCAAACGGCACAATATGGAGATACAGTACCGGTAATAGTCAATTTTAAGCTCTTACATCAGCTGTACGAGAATAAATGTCAAATAAATGTCCATAAACATTTGTTGGTATAAATGAGGTTTTCAACTGCAGCTTTGACTCGTGTCACGTTGTTCTGTTCAGGTGAACTGGGGGAGGTGGGACCTCCTGCAATTTCACCTTCGACTTTTGGAGTGTCAGCTGGCCTTGTAGACCACTCCCTCCCACAGCTGCATGTAATGGAGACTGGCGAGGCAGGCCCCCCAGGTAAAATGACCTCATCAATGTTGCCAGAGGGGGCAGACAGCAGTACGATGACTGTTCAGGGGTTTGCTGGAGCTCCAGGTGGGACCGACCACATAAAAACACACACTGCTCTGAATGTTTGTCTACTTCGTTTCATGACGTTTTTATTCGCAGCCTCTCCTGTGAAATCCAAGGACTCTTTAAAAACCAGCATACCTCTAATCACAGGTGACTAGTCCTAAAACATTTTTGTAATGTTCCAAAACTGAAAATTTTAGGTTCAGCTAAGGCTGCTGTTCTTTTATCATCAGATAGGGATATGCTTCTGAGACCTCCACCTCTGAAACCAGCCACAGCTCCAGGTTCGTGTTTGTTCCTTATCCAGAGGCCAGAACCAAGTCCCCGTTTTCACCGCTCGTGTTTTCTGTCCTGTGTTCAGGTGAGATGGTATCATTCTCCGCCGGTTTAACTCTCCCGCCATTTCAAGAAATTGGAATCATTCGATTTAACATGGTGCTCGTCAACGATGGGGGACATTATGACCCTCAAACAGGTAACTTTTACAGATGTCTTCCAGATATAAACACATGAAGTTACATTGAAGTCAGGAGGTCTGTGACAAAAGATTGGAACTATCACTTCAAGTATTAGCTGGTTTAAATGTTCTGATAATCAGAGATTATCCAAAGTGTATGTGTCGAGGAAATTTGAAGACAGTGGTTGAACATTGTTTGGGACACTTTAAAAGAAGCCAAATGTTTGTACAAAAAGCAGCTCTCTGTGTTCCAGGTATCTTCACTGCTCCCACAGACGGCCGCTACCTGGTGACCTCCGTGCTCGCAGCCCAGAGAGGTGAACAGGTTGAGGCCGTGCTGTCGGTGTCCAACCACAGCGTCCAGAAGTTGAGCTCAGGCTTCCTGTCTGAAACTGAACCACGTCAGCAGTGTAGCTGCAGCGGTTCGACATCACTGAGTTTGGTGGTTCACATGAAACGAGGAGACCAGGCAGGACTTGTCCTGACTGCTGGAAAACTCGCCGTTTCAGACTCCGCACAGGTCCTGTCGTCTTTTAGCATCGTGCTTCTGTACGCCAACCCAATGAAGCGGTAGCTGCTCTGACACTTTACTGTAAATACACCTGAGCTTCGAGGGTTGTTGTGTTAAATTATGAGAGGGAAGGACAAATGTATTTAAGAGACGTAAACAAGGAAAGAAAAAGGCTCCAAAAATCTTCTGGGATTTTCTGCATTGTGAGTAATATATAGCTTTTATTGCAATTATTATTTTTTTATGTTTGTCCTAATTTGCCTGAACAATCCAAAGGAATTAGACACTCATATCTCGTTGGTACTAAAACGCATTGCTTGTCATTTTAAAAGCAGTTTTTTTAATAAAGCATCATTCAACACGACATATTTTATTGTTTCTCATTACACTTCTGCAAAAACATTAACTAAACTATCTGTGCAGAGAAAATTTGAACAGTTTTGACAGTTTATATCAAATTGATTTGCATTGTCCTCTTTATTAAAACTATTATATCTTGACAAATATCATTTGTGCTTAGATTGTGAAAGCAAAATATTAACTGAACCTCGAAGCTGCTGCATAATGTCTTCATTCAAAAGTAAAAAATAAACAAAACTGGAAAAATTCTGTGTGCTTTTCACACAAAGTTTGTCACTTTCATAGAAAGAATGCAGAAAATTTTAGACATTGGATGCAACACATGAAAACTACAAACATTATGATCCTAAATTTCTCACATCTGAAGCATCTTTCATAAAACATCACATTTCCTGCTGTTTGTATTTTTATGGCAGTATTACAGCTTGACAGGGCTCATATAGCTACTTTGTGTTTATAATCTTAATAATAATATAATAATAATACTTTCTGTGTTTTTGTGGGAACAAAGATATTTCTAGAAATTACAACAAGCTCAATTTGAAAAAAAAAAAGGTGTTTCCATATAACTAAACTACAAATTGATAAAAATGACTTCCAAATAGCAGCAGTATCTACATGTTGTTTTGTTTATGTAGACGGCAGTAATGCAGTTTTCACATTCTTCTGATCATGTTAGTGCAAATATTTTCTGCCTTTTGGAGAATTATAAATGAATACAGATTTTAAAAAGATTGCACATTGGCTCGTTGGCTCGATGTCAGTCAGTAAAATGCAGTTTACATCATCCTGTTTTCTGCTTACACAGTGCTCAGACATCTACTCTCACATGCGTTACACCGTGCAGCTGTTAGGAACAACAGATGTTGCACTTGAGGGTTTTGTGTACACTAAGGAAAACTACATTCATTAAAAAAATCATAAGCTTTTCAGCTAAATCAGAACATATAAGACGAACGATTCCAGCAGCCAATAACAGAGTTCAATCAGTGCACTCTCAGTTACAGCAGCTCCTCGAAGCAAACCTGAGCAATCGGCTGTTTCCAGAAACAGAAGGAGCTGAACTCCGGACAGCTGAAGGTGGTGTTGTGTTGTGTGCTGCGTAAAGGAAAAACGTGCTCCACCAGCTCACTCAGCCTGCTGTATCTGCCAATTGTATTAAAAGCAGACAGCAGAGGAAACATTTCTCAGCGTGGTAACAAGTGACAGATTAAAGCTGCAGTGGCGTTACTTACGATGTTTTATTGCCTTTGGTTTGTTCAAGAATTAGCTCTCCCTTAGGATTCACGGTGAAGATTCGACACACAGGCACACCCACTTGTTTGTAGGCAAACACGTCCTAATAAACAGAACAAAAGACAATAAGTGGTCATTACTAATATTCTACACTGAGGTCAGTCTGAAGAAAGCTGTGTTTTTTGAAAACTTCTATATACAGGTGCTGGTCTTAAAATTAGAATATCATGAAAACATTGATTTATTTCAGTAATTCCATTCAAAAAGTGACACTTGTATATTATATTCATTACACACAGACTGATATATTTCAAATGTTTATTTATTTTACTGTTAATGATTATAACTGACAACTAATGAACATGAAAAGTATGAGCATGTACATCGCTCAATACTTAATCGGGGCTCCTTTTGTCTGGATTACTGCAGCAATGCAGCGTGGCATGGAGTCGATCAGTCTGTGGCACTGCTCAGGTGTTCTGAGAGCCCAGGTTGCTCTGATAGTGGCCTTCAGCTCTTCTGAATTGTTGGGTCTGGAGTATCACATCTTTCTCTTCACAATACACCATATATTTTCTATGAGGTTACAGTCAGGAGAGTTTGCTGGCCAATTAAGAACAGGGATACCATGGTCCTTAAACCAGAACTTGACTCTGGACCTCAAGCAACATGGATTCTGTGCCTCTCCTCTTCCTCCACTCTGGGACCTTGCTTTCCAAAGGAAATGCAAAATTTATTTTCATCAGAGAACATAACTTTGGACCACTCAGCAGCAGTCCAAGGCGAGACGCTTCTGATGCTGTCTCTTGTTCAAGAGTAGCTTGACACAAGGAATGCGACAGCTGAATCCCTTGTCTTGCATACGTCTGTGCGTGGTGGTTCTTGAAGCATCGACTCCAGCTAAAGTCCACTCTTTGTGAATCTCCCCCACATTTAGAATGGGTTTTGTTTCACAATCCTCTCCAGGGTGCAGTTATACCTATTGCTTGCACAAGTTTTCTACCAGATTGTTTCCTTCCCTTCGCCTCTCTATTAATGTGTTTGGACACAGAGCTCTGTGAACAGCCAGCCTCTTTAGCAATGACATTTTGTGTCTTGCCCTCCTTGTGCAAGGTGTCGATGGTTGTATTTTGGACAACTGTCAAGTCAGCAGTCTTCCCCATGATTGTGTAGCCTACAGAACCAGACTGAGACCATTTAAAGGCCTTTGCAGGTGTTTTGAGTTAACTATCTGATTAGACTGTGGCACCAGATGTCTTCAATATTTCATAATATTCTAATTTGAAATACTGAATTTGGGGTTTTCATTATTTGTTGGTTATAATCATCAACATTAAAAGAAATAAACATTTGAAATATATCAGTCTGTGTGTAATGAATAAATATAATAAAAAGTTTCACTTTTTGAATGGAATTACTGAAATAAATCAACTTCTTCATGATATTCTAATTTTATGACCAGAACCTGTACATTTAGTTGCAGAATATAATCCTTCAGAATAAATTATTTAGAATGTGTCTTACAGCACCTAAGAGTTTATACACAACTAAAATACACATCAATAAACTAGTCGATGCTCAGTTTGAGCTCTGTAATCTAAGGCGTTTCCAAAATAAAACAGCTGCAGCGATTAATACAGGAATGAACATATGCAACTCACGTTCTCTCTGTTTCCAAAGGCAGCATAAAAGGGGTGTGTGTTTGGGTCGAACAAGTTCTTGATGTCTGTCAGACATTCGATCTTAAACTTCTCAGGCTTCTTTTCGATGATCTCTCTAAACACAAAAATGCAGAATCAACCTCTGACTTTCTGCAGCTGATACTGCAGACACTATTTTTTATTTTTAATGACCCTATGCACAGAGGTACCATAAAACTGCAGCTGCTCAAGTTGGCTTCACGACATTTTAGCATTTTAAACTTTTATGAATTCAGATCTTTTTGCTGTTGTTGTATTGGTGCAACTTTAGCTTTTTGAAATATTTAGCCTTTTCTGCCACTTTTTTTTGTCTCAGGAAATGAATTGAGCTCATTTTACATCCTTACATCTGTTTACAACCATTTACTGCTCCTTTCATATTTTGTTCTGCTTCAGCTTCTTTCGGTTTCCTTCTGCAAATTTAAACTTTTTTCAGCTACTTTCAGCTGTTTTTTCAGCTGTTTTGTGATCCTTTTAGATTCTTTCTGCTAACTATAACATTTTTGTGCTTCTTCTAACTTCTTTCTGATAATTTCAGCTTATTTATGCAAGTTTCAACTTTTTCTGCTATTTCAGCTACTATTTAGCAGTTTTTATGCTAATCTTAGCTTTTTTGGCTAATTCCATATTTTTGGCACTCGTTTCAGCATTTTGCTTTCTTTTCAGCCTAATTCACCAAATGTGCTCTCTCTCCTTTTCCTTCTGGTAATTTAATCTTTTTCTGCTTTTAAAACTACATTTCAGATTTTTTTTGTTTTGTTTGATTGTTGTTGTTGCCAGTTTCAGCTTTTTTCAGATAATTTCCACATTTTTGTGCTAATTTTTGCTTCTTTCAGCTTAATTGGGCAACATGTTCTTTCTTCTGCTAATTTCAGCTTATTCTACTTCAGCTAGCTTTTTAGCATTTTCAGCTAATTACAGATAAATTTATGTTTTTCATGGTAATTTCTGCTACTTTCAGCCTAATTAACATCTTTCTAATTTCAGCTTGTTATGCTAGTTTCAGCTTTTTCTGCTATTTACACTACTTTTTAGCTGTTTTGTGCTAAATTTAGCTTTTTCAGGTAATTCCACATTTTAGCACATTTCAGCTCCTTCCACTAAGGGTAGTTTAAGCTTCTTTCTACTTTTTCAGCTACTTTTCATCCATCCATCCATCCATCCATCCATCCATTTTCTTTACCCGTTTATTCCATTTTGGGTCACGGGGGTCGCTGGTGCCCATGTCCAGCAATCACTGTGCGAGGGGTGGGGTAAACCATGGACGGGTCGCAAGTCCATCACAGGGCCACATAGAGACAAATGAGACAAACAACCATTCACTCTCTCACTCTCACCTAGGGACAATTTAGAGTTACCAATCAGCCTAACATGCATGTTTTTGGTCTGTGGGAGGAAACCGGAGTACCCGGAGAAAACCCACGCATGCACGGAGAGAACATGTAAACTCCACCCAGAAAGGCCCCCGGACCGGGATTTGAACCAGGGACCTGCTCGCTGAGAGGCAGCAGCTCTACCAGTTGCGCCACCGTGCTGCCCTACTTTTCAGCCATGTTTTGCTAATTTCAGCTTTTTTTAAGCTAATTTCCTAACTTTGTGCTAATTTCTGCTTATTTAAACCAAATTCAGTAAATATGTGTTCTTTCTGTTTTCTTCTACTAACTTAGGCTTGTGCTTCCATTTCAGCTAAATTTCAGTGTTTTTAGCTAATTTCAGCTCTTTTTCAGCAAGTTCTTCAGCAATAAGCATCCACACGGCATTTTCAAAGGAAATGCAATTTCTCTAGTTAATATCTTATCTCCACTGTAACTTTCCTGAGGTCCAGTAGCTGCAGCTGTTCATCTAGATTAGTGAAATCCTAGAATAAATCTGCAGGTGATGATTTTCTACCTGTGGAAGGCAGAGAAGAGGCTGCTTGGTGAAAGCATGAGGGGTCCCTGAGGAAGAAGAGTGCCGCTCTCGTTCACCCAGTGCAAATATCCTCGTGTCATGTTGGCCATGCCTATCGCTCGGGCTGAACAATACAGGAACTTATAGCCGTTTCTGCAACAGTCAGACGTTTTCTGGTTACGTGTTTCACAGTAATCTAACTGGGTGCGATCACTGAGGCAAGTGTGGCATCGTACTCATGCACAGAGTTGTAAAGCTTCGCGATTCCCCGATGAGTCCAGTCTTTACCGAGCTGAGGAAGAATCTGACCAAAAACATCTGATCTAAGGGGGAAATGTGAGGACAAATATGTATTTTTCTTTAAAATCACAAGCATACTACACAGGTCAGGGTAACTGTGTTTACAATTTTAAATTTCCAGAATAAAAATATACATAAATGGGGAGGTTTGCATATTTTATACTTGGTGATGGTGCCGTCGATGTCAGAGATGATGACCTTGTCGTCCCAGTTCCACAGGTAGATGGTGCCCTCGCAGCGGCACGTTCCCTGGTACTGAGTGGTTATACTGAAGGTGACCTCGTTTGGGCCGTCTCTCAGCTTCAGGCTGGCCTGAAAGATACACATTCTAGTCATTAAAGATTAGTTATCGTAACGAAACCAAAGTTTAGATTTGATTAATTCATAAATGTCAAATAAAATGTGCTGAATGCATCCAAATGTCATCCAATAAAGTTAGTGATTAATAACCAACAGAAGCAGGTAGGTGAGCAAATAGATTTAAATTCAGCACAAATTATTTTAATTGTGCATGTATTCAGTAAACCAGAGATTGAACCATCAACCTTTTCTTGTGTTAACGTTTGCTTGATCACCACAGTAAATGGCGCGCATTATCAAACGGCAACAAATTACTCTGAAATCAAAATATCAGTATAAAATGGTTACATGCATGTCAAACAAAAAGTTAAAATGTTGATTTGAAAATTGAAATTGTTGATTTTTGGAATAATACATAACACTGTTGTTTATCAGCAGAGGGTTACTGTTATTTTGTATTTATAATAAATAGTCTAATAAATAAAGACCACATTTCTTCTTTGGACTTCAGCATAAACCATTTGAAACCATAGAACAGAAGATTGTTTCTGCGTGTGCTGAGTCAAACACGCAGCTCACAGCACTGATCTTACTATCTGCTCAGACGACAGGCGCAGGGACTTCTTGTAAGAGTGGCATGAAGCTGGACCTTCTGTCTGCACGCGCTCAGTGGGTGTCAGAGTGGATGCTGCACTGCTCAGCTCTTTAGCCTCATCATCGCTGGACCACTCTGCAGCTTTCTGCCTGCAGGAGAGAAACAAAATAACCTCAATTAGCACAACAGCAAATTTATTGACATTAAAGACTTGATTATATATAATAATGTAAATCAGAAAAAAATTAAGCAGTGACTTTTAAAGACACCAGGGGGCAGCAGGTGTACTCATCGACCTTCAATGCTCTTGACATTCTGTTGAATTAAAACTGAAAATATCCCCATTTATTTCCCATAGTAGATCAAACTACCATCTCCTGGCTCAAATAATCATTTTATGTACATGTTTATTTATGTTTATTTGCTTTTAAAGCTTGATTTCCTAATGTGTCCCTGAGTCACAAGCCATTATTGCTGCTGACATGCTAATCCATCTTCTGTGGGACATGTTTACTCAACAGTGCTTGTGTTGGTGTGTGCCTGGTGTTGTGAGGACATCCGAGCTTTGTGACTCACTGTGGTTCTGCAGCCTGCTGGAGGGCAGGACTCTCTCGGCTCACAGACTCCTCTCTTTCCAATTTACACTCGGATGACAACTAAGGAGATGAGGAAACTTTAATGACTTAAATTTCTGAAACCAAAAGGCAACGTATAGACATGAAAAGCGTCACTTTTAAGGAAATGTCTTTACGTAATAATGCAAAGGATAGATGACGTGGCTGCTGATGCTTTTGGGCAACACCATGTTCGTTTGCAATGCAAAGTTTCTTAAACTGAATGGGACTCCTGCTGTCCACCAGCACTTTAAACATGGAAGTGAGTCACAAGATTACACAAAGACATGAAGCACACCTGTTTGGTACTGCTCTTCCTCCAGAACCACCAGCGTCCAGACTTTTTTGGCATTTTCTCCTTCACCCAGGCCTCCTCTGTAGCCTGACATTTAAATAACACATTCAGGTGAACTTTGTATGTGGATATAAGCAGCTCAGAAACATAAAATTAGATATTACCTTTGGCAAGTTCTTCTGGAAAGCTTGCATGCTAAGTATCAACGGTGCTGCCAGAGCCCAGCTGTAATATCTGTAAATTTAAAAAAAAAAAACTATTTTAATCTGCAGCTGGTTCAGAAATTAATTAAAGAAACATTTGTTAAACTGAGAAGACAGTGCAGCTGAAAAATAAGAAGAATCACCGGTTTGCGATTTTGACCACCAAGTTGGGATTGTCGATAATAGCTGGATTCTCTGCAAATTCGCTATAGGTGACGACGTGCTCCATGAATTTTTCTGAAAGGAATGAAACGGGAAGGCTTGACCTCAATTAGCGGCTCAGGTTTCTAAACATGGAGACACTGTAACTAGGGATGCACGATATTATCGGCATGGTATCGGTCGATATTAGCGATAAAGTTAAATATTGGACATCGGCCATTCCATCAAAATAACTCACCGATATAAAAGGCACTGTT